GCTTCTCTGTCTCATCGTCTGACTAGTGACCCCATCACACTGGCTCTGTCCTTAGCCTGTCCCCAGCTTCCCTGCCCCCAGTGGCCGTGGTCTGCTGCAGAGTGACGCCCCTCAGCTCGCAGCGGCCCTTCAGCGTGGCACGGTATCCTTTCCAAACCCTCTCTGCTCCTTCCCACCCCGTCCTCCTCACTCTTCCAGAGCAGTGGCCTCCCCAGCTTTGGAGCAGACGTGGAGGCCACAGCCAGGAGCCGCTCACGCCCTGGTCCCAGATGCACACCTGCCAGGTCTGCGCCAGGTGTCCTCCCTGTGGACTCCCTCAGGCTGAGCGCCCCCTGACATCCAAGCCCTCATGCCATCGTCACCCTTCCTTTCTGACGTGTGACTGGCCTTTTTCCAGCTAGGCCCTCCTCGCTTGTCTTTTCTCATAGTCACACATCTGGTTCAACACAGACGCTGAGCCTCAGCTCCTCGGCGTGCCTCATCTCCCCTGCGCCTGGCGGCCCCAGCCTTCCCCAGAGCTCCCGCAAGCCGCCATCTCTGCCTCCCTGTCCGCAGTCCCATCCTCTATGGAGCTAGCTCTCAACAGGGCCACTAGTAACAACTCTGTCTGGAAGCTGCTGGGCGCTTAGTTCCCCCTCAGGCTGCTGCCTGGAAGCCCTCTCTACCCTGGTCACCCAGGACCAGCCACGTCTGCCTCTGCGGCTCTGGACCATCTTGGGCCCCTCCCTCTGCTCTATACCATCTCTGGGCCCCTCCCCTCTGCTCTGGACCATCTTGGGCCCCTCCCTCTGCTCTGGACCATCTCAGGCCCCTCCCTCTGCTCTGGACCATCTTGGGCCCCTCCCTCTGCTCTGGACCATCTCGGGCCCCTCCCTCTGCTCTATACCATCTCTGGGCCCCTCCCCTCTGCTCTGGAACATGCCTGGGCCCCCTCCTCTCAAGCTCTGGACCAAACATAAAGCTGTTTGCTCTTCTATTCTTCTTGGATGTCTGGAAGGCCCATCTAACTCAATACCTCAAGAATCAGATCAGATCAATTCCCATTCCTGAACCAGTGCCTTCCATCGTCCCTGTCTCAGGGATGGCACCCCCACCCCTCTGACACGCTCAGCAGAAGCCCGAATCCGTGCTCTGCAGCAGCCCATGGCCCCCTCAGGCCCTTGTGCCTTCTGCTGCCCTGCTCTGGCTACCCGCAACCATGCTTTTCAAGCCCAGTGCTGAAGAGACTGGTATTTTAAAAATTTTTCTAATCTTGGCAGACTATAACTTCTGTAAAATTCAGTATAGTGAGCAATTAATTATGGGAAAATGGGAAAACATACCAAACATAGGCCCCTTCTTTGTTGTCATTGTGTTCAGCGGACAGAACTCTGTCTCAGTGCTGTGAAAGTGTCAGCTTCTCTGCTTGTCCTCACGGACCTGCCACCCACCACTAGTCCACGGTCCTCGTTGAAGTAAAAGGAAATGAACTATTGATTGACTTATGGAAAAAGTCTAGACTGGGGTCAGCTAGCATTTTCTGTAAAAGATCACAGGCTAGATATTTTAGGCCTTCTGCTTACAGGGTTTCTGCTGTGCCTGCCCCTCTGGTCCATGGCGGCACGAGGCTTTCCACAGCACGCACACAGATGCGTGAGGCTGGCCTCCAGCGGCTGTGTGGACAGAAGCAGGCTGTGGGTGGATTCGGCCCGCAGGGTATATACAGACTGCCGGCGCCAGGCCTGCCTCCTGGGACATCCTCCTGACTGCTCCACTCACATCTGCCCGGGTTCCTCAGTGTCGCCCCTCACTGCGGGGGGCGGGTGTGGTGACGTGACACTGCTGTGGCCCGTGGTCTCAGAAGCCTGCAGAGGCCTGCACGGCTCAGCCTCACCTTCCTCCCACGTCCTCTGGTCCCCACTGTGTCCCCTCAGGCCACGCAGCCGTCACTGTGCTCCTTGTACTCCCCGCGCCTGCTCACGCTTTGCGTGCACTCTCCTAGGGCTGTCTCCTCCCTGGCTGACTCTTCCCCATCCTCAGTGTAGGCCACTCCCCCAGGGAAGGTGCCCCGGCCTCTCTGTTTAGAAGAAATGCCGCTAGCAGAAGAGGCCAGAATGTTCAACCCCAGGGACCAGGGAAGGGAGCAGTCATTAATCGCCCCTGGATACAGGATCTGCTCAGATACAGAAATAGAACTGGTTCAACTTGGCAGAATATCTTTCCCTCTCACTTTTTCACATTTGCAATTCAAAGAGAATATACATAGCCGTTTGTATTATATAAAGTGATTATTGCATTGAATTTAGACTAGAGAAGAAGGCATTTGGAGATAGTTTCAATAAATTATCTTAACCAGTCTAAAAATATTTCTGAGCTGTCAACCAGAACACAGCAACCCTGTAGTACTTGAACCCGTTTTGCCGTAACTAGGACAGGTTGGGGGAAGGTGGCACCGATTTCGTCTTCACGTCTGACCAGCGCTGCTCGGCCTGCGCTTAGCGGCTGCACCAGCTGGCGAGGGGAGCACGGGCTTGCGGCGCAGGAGACGTGCGTGGTGCGTGGCGCATGGCGGGGCGGCGTCAGCAGTGGGACCAGTCTCATCATCACCCAAAACATAAAAACTGCAAGATACGTTTGAAGGAGTCGCACGAGTTGTCCTGTTAGTACCTGCCCCTGGCTGGCTGCCGCTCGCTGCCGGGCCGCAGCAGGTATAGTGTCAGGAAAACACGTCGGAGAAAGCGTGGAAAAGTTCCTCTGACAGGGAGATAGTGACACGCCTGTGAACATGGCCAAAATCCAGAGCGGGGACAGCGTCCAGTGCCGTGAGGGTGTGGCGCAGCCGGCGCCATCATTCCTCGCAAGCAGGATGCAAGCGGTTAAGCCGCTTTGAAAGATAGTTCAGCGGCTTCTTACAAAACTAAACATTCTCGTACGTGCAGTGAAGCAATCCGGTTATTGCCTCCTAGTCTTAGGTGTTTCACCTAATTCAGCTGGATACTTACCCCCACACAGAAGCTGCACACACAGTTAGTAGCTGCTGTCTTCATGGCTGCCAAAAACTAGAGGTAACTAAGACAGGTGAGCGGACAAAATGGTAATCCATGCTGTGGGGCGTCACTCAGCTTAGAAAAGATAATTAACTGCTGACCCCAGAAAAGACCCGGAGCAACCTGAGATGCCCACAGCCCAGGGACAGCCGGTGGCTCATGTCTGGTCCCAGGGCTGATGAATAATAGAGTTGGCTGTCCTGAAGTTCCTTCCCTCACACGTGCGGTCTCACTAAGCATGCACACACCAACACGCACTGGAAAGATAGAAAGGAAAAAAAGATTCTTCCACAAGGAGGTCGTGTTGGTCCTTGCTGACAGCATTATAAACAGAAATCATTAATTCACACTAAATGGGAAGAACAGGATGGATTTATGTAGCAGCAACTTGGGAATTTTTTAGCTGCATTGTTAACATTTCTAATGTCTGCTTCATACCTGGCACTGTTGTTACCTCATTTAATCCTCCCATCACTGAGGTGGGACAGGCAGCTCAACCCCGTAAATTCAAGCCAGCACTGAGCCCGCAAGTGTAGGCAGCGCACCACGGCCCCTAAACAGGCCCCTAAACACTTGAGCTCCCTGGCTCCCGACTGCAGCACGCTCCCTCGGCCATGGCCACCTCCCAGGAAGTTAGGAGACGTCATTAGCTCCCGCCTGGGGAGCCCCAAGGAAAGGAGTGCAGAGCTACTCTAATGAGAAGTGGAGGACCACTCTCCCTCACGAGCTCTTTGCTAACAGAGGCCCATGTCCTCTGTGTCCTCGCATGCCATGGGAAGATGTCCAAGGGCAGCGGTGCACACGAGAGTTGACATGCAACGAGGTGTGTGACATGCTCTAACACATGTTTGTAAGTAGGTAAAGTCCTAAACTTCTTGCTGAAAAAGAACATAGCTGCACATGAAATCATTTAACTAATCCTTGAAAAACAGCCTGTTTAATGTCCATCTTCCTTGCTGGATCCTACACTTAATGAGTCAGGGACACGGTGCTCATTCACACTGTGATCCCTGGCCCCCAGCCTGTGGTCTCTGCCAGGCAGGAGATACTGAAAGGCTGTTGACCAACTGGGTAAATGGGCACATCTGTAGTATCCAAGATAGTGCCTAATATATTGAGAAAAATATATATGAGTATCCAGTTCTAGCTTCTTAAAAGACTTAAACATTCTTTCTGATAATATTTTCCCATTCCTTTGTCCAATAGCCCCTCCCTCCTATACTGCATAAGGGCAAAGGTAAACACGCGTCCCAGTCCGTGCACCAGTATGTGATGCCAGCCAGCCTTTCCCTGGGTGAAGCTGTAGCAAGAAGTCACATGAATGCTCTGCAGTGACCCACTGGCCTGTCATATGTGGCATTAGCATAGTTCATTGATTTTTTTTTTATATTGGTAAATTAGAATTATGTTGAACATATAAAACCACTTAGAGTCATGTGCAGATCTTACAGACACAAATAAATATATCTAACATGTAGCATAAAATTAAATCATTGACTTTCAATTGACTAAAAAGGAAACCAGTCTTACAGATTGGAGGATGGGGGAGATTTTCAGTAAAAGTCTCCTGTCTGTGTTCTCTCAGTTGTTAAATTTTAATGGTTTTATGATCCTATCATCTCAGACTGTGTCCAGCTTGGCTCTCTCCCTACCTGGTTACACGCGCAGCGCTGACAAATGGCACTGCCTTCCGTGCCGGCCACTGAGCGACCTCGCCACGGTCACTGACGGCTGGATGGGGCTGCTCCTGGCAGGGCAGGCAGCCGTGTCTGGTGGCTGTGTTGGGTCACGCCTTCTGCCATGTCCTGCACGTATGTTTGGGTCACACCTCCCGTTGTGTCTTGCAGAGCTGCAGAAACTGGAGGGCGGCAGTGGACCTGTGCGGACGCCTCCTCACCGCCCACGGCCAGGGCTACGGCAAGAGCGGGCTGCCTACCAGCCACACGACAGATTCGCTGCAGGTTAGCACACCTTCGGTTGCCGTACTTTTATTTGGGCTTATCACAATTTGGGGACCAAGAGACTGTGGCCTTTTCATGCCAATTGAACAATTTGAGCACAAAAAAATGGATTTTCATATCTTGAGCTTAATCTCAGGATATGACATTGTATGACATTGCCCTGCTTCCTTCTTTCTTACTTAAGCTGTTTATATTATACCCACGGGAACTGGAATTCTCTCTACCCTATTACGAAGTAGCCTTTGTGCACCCCAGAAGCTCGCTCACCAGGTGCTCAGCATTTGAGCTCACAGTGGAGATGAGCTGTGGTTTAAGGCTGGCAGGTGGGTTCACCTCTTCCGGTTAGTAGCAGCAGCCGGTGCAGGCCCCCCAGGTGTGTCTGGGCCTGGTGCAAACAGCGGTGGGGGCGGCTGGTTCTGTCTGCCCAGGGAGTGAGTGTCCCCACACCACGGGTTTGCTTTTCCTGGCGTAATAATATCACTTGCTCTAAAATTTAAAAAATAAAAAGGAATGCACAAAATAGAGTTTGTGAACGAAAAGAAACTCTGATGAGAAGGAATAGCTGTGAAATATTGTAAGTTCTTACCTTTTCCTGGGGAGTTTTTTTTAGCTGTTTTTCAAACTTACATGGGAATCCCAGAACTAAACAGGTCAGCAGACACTCCGAAACCTCGACGAGCTTTTGAGAGGAGGGACTCTGGGGAGATCTGATGGCTTGGTTCTTTCAAGCAGCCTCCTTTCTCTTCAGTCTCCTCCCCCGAGAGGGGACCGTGTATGGCTGCAGTCCCCAGTCCCCGGGCTGCAGGACCACCACCAGGCCGCACGGCCCCCACCGCACACTGCGCAAGCCAGGGACCCAGGTTGCCTCCCCGTGAGAATCCAGCGCCTGCGGATCTGAGGTGGAGGCGAGGCCGCCACGCCCCCTTCCCTCCCCGCCCCTCTTCTCCATGGAAAACTGTCTTCCAGGAAGCTGATCCCTGGTGTACGGGAAAGATAAGAGCAGCTCTAACTTTAGACACCTGTCCTCCCTCCCAGCCTCTCCATCCATTGATTTGCTAAATCATAGGTTATTTCTTTTCTGCTTCTCTCAGAGCCTTCACCACGCCCAGTTCAGGCCCTTGGTGGAATGTTGCTTTGGCCTCCTTCGTGAGCTTACTTCGAGTCCGTGCACTTTTATTCAATAAACTGCCGCCAGGGTGATCTTAGAGCGCAGTTTTGATCATCTTGCTTTCCTGCTCAGGGGGCTGAGGCGGGGTCACTCGAGCCCAGGAGTTCTGGGCTGTGCTGATCCGGTGTCCACACTCAGTTCAGTATCGTGGTGGTGACCTCCCGGGAGCAGGGGCCACCAGGTCACCTAAGGAGGGTGAGCTGGCCCAGGCTGGAAACGGAACAGATCAAAAACTGTGAATGGCTTCCCACTGCCTGCCAAATTAAATGTAATCTTCTCAAACCTTCCACACCACAGTCACAAACAAACGCACAAGAAGACCATTCGAGCCCGGCATGGCGCACACCTGCGGTACCAGCTACTTGGGAGGCTAGGGCAGGAGCATCCCTTGAGCCCAGGAATTCAAGTGCTTCCTGGGGAACATAGCAAGATCCCATCTATTAAAAAAACAACAACAATAATAATAATACCATTAGACTCAGTTTGATTCTCATCTTTTAATTCTGTACTTGCTATATATTCTTTAGCAATTGCTTCCTTTTTTCCTCATTTTTAAGCTTATATCAGGAATTATTTTTTTTAATTTTTAATTGACAAATAAAAATATTATATATTATGAAGTTTTAATATATGGATACATTGTGGAATGGCAAAATAAGCTAATTAACATATACATTTCCTCATGTATTGTTTAGGGGGGTTTTGTGATGAGAAATTTAACATCTCTCTTAGCAGGTTTTAAGTACACAATACATTGTTATTCACAGTGGTTACCATGTTGTACAGTTGATCTCTTGAACTCATTCCTGCTGTACAACAGAAATTTTGTGTCCTTTGACCAACATCTCCCCAATATCCCCTGGTAACCAGGTAACCACCATTCTACTTTTTGCTCTAGGCATTTTAAGTTGTTTAGATCCGCGTGTGAGCCAGAACTTGCAGCATTTGTCTTCTGTGCCTGGCTTATTTCATTTATCGTACTGTCCTCCAGGTTCATCCCTGTCATCACAAATGACAGTGTTTCCTTTTTTAAGACTGAGTAGTATTTCACTGTGCATGTACACCACATTTTCTCTCTCCATTCATCCACCAGTGGGCGCTGCATGCACTCCATTTTTCTCACTGGTAAGGGGAGAGCGAATTAGGTCATGTTCAATGATACCTTATAATTCTAAAAGTCCTGACCCCGTACCCTCCAGCGTGAATTCCCAGTTTCTTCACTGCACTCTGCGTGCCAGCCACGAGGGGGCTCCCTGTGCTCAGGCGCTTATCACGCCATCCATGCCGGGCCTTCGTTCCCACCGTGCCCTGCGTCTGTGGGCCCTTCCCTAGCCGGCGGCCTCCAGAAGTTCTGCACCCTTCAGAGCTGTGCTCTGGCACGGCCCAGGTACCTACAGCCCACCCTGCTCTCCTGCCCCCCCGCCGCCCACTTTTGCCATCAGTCCCCACCATCTCCAGATGATAAACTCCTCTGGGTGGGGCTGTGCTTGTTTATCTTCCCAAACCTGGGGTAGTGCTCTGCACACACACTCTGCTCAATACGTATTATTTACTTACAGAGTGAACAGTAGTATAAAATTGTTTACATTGTTATTAACCTCAAGATTTTTTTTCTTTTCTTTTTTCTTTTTGTTGGAGATGGGGTCTTGCTGTGTTGCCCAAGCTGGACTCGAACTCCTGGCTTCAAGTGATCCTCCCACCTCAACCTCTCAAGTAGCTGGGACTACAGACATGTACTGCCATGCCCAGCTGCCAGAGTATTTTTTATAAACATGGTTATGCAAAGCTGCAAAGATAGAAAGTTAGGTTAGCCCCTGTGTTAATATGTTAGAGATCAACCTCTGATAAAAATTAATGGGGAATAGGAATTTCTGAACTTGATACATGTAGATAACCTATTGTTCCATTCCATTTTTGTGTTTTCAGCTTTGGTTTGTGAGGCTGGCACTGCTAGTGAAGTTGGGCCTCTTCCAGAATGCTGAAATGGAATTTGAACCCTTTGGAAATCTTGATCAGCCAGATCTTTATTATGAATACTACCCTCACGTATATCCTGGGCGCAGGGGTAAGGCAGCGATGTTTAATATTTGTGCATTTGCATGTATTTTGCTCTGCTTCACTTTGATTTATAAATACTTAGGTTCCTCCGTTTTCTTTATTTACCCAGTCCTAAAAAGTCAAGTAAGTACCTTGCAACAAGCCTAGATGAGATCACAAAATGATCTCACTCAGCTTTATAAACACACTGCCCTAGCAGTGCCCACCGATGTATTCGTTTGTTCATTTAACAACCATTCATCAAGCACCTGCTGCCTCAAAGCCGTGTGATTTGCTGCGGGGACTTTGGTGGTGGACTTTGGAACTGTCCTGCACAGTAAAAAATAATTTCATATCACAACCTAGTGTGTACATGTGCATATAAGTGAAACAAAAACATTCCTGAAACAATACTCATTCTTGCCACGTGGCACACACTGTGATATTTTCTATGAATGTCTATTCTGATTTAATTTATTTTCAAAATCCAGTGATGGCCCACCCACCGGGTTACAGTCACACCATTGTCTGGAAAGCACTGGGCTACAGCGTAGGGTAGTTTCAGGAGGGGGCATGAAACAAGAAGTGAGGTGGGGAGGGCAGGTGCTGGAGACATCCTGTGCCACCAGGAGCCTGGAGGTGGAATGTACGTCCCCTGGTGGGGCCCTTACCAGCATGTTTGAAACCCTGCATGAAGTAGAAAACAGCCTTGGAAGGATGTCTTAGCTCACTTACCAAAGCCTGGGCTCTGCAGTCACACTTCCTGGTTGACACGTGAAACTCGGGCTAGTTAGCTGGCGTCTCTGTGCCCAGTGTCCTTATCGGTAGAGCCGGTGACAATCCTGCCTGCTTGCTAGGGTGTCGTGAAGATTGAATGATGTCATGTAGGTGACTTGCTTGGAACAGTGGCTGACACAGTTATAATTGCTGCGTTTGCTGTTTTTCTTACTCTGTTCTAAATTAATCAGTAACACATGTGACACTCAAATACTGCCCTTTTTTTGTAAAATCAACCAGTCAGCATTTGTTGGATGCAGCCGTGGAGCTACAAAGAATGGTCCTGATTGTCAGGAAACTTAGAGCCTAACCGGAGGTAGAAAATACAAAATAATAACCGTACAAGAGAGTACAACAACCTGCTTAATAATAAAGATAATAATTGCTATGGAAGTTTCAAAAAATTTAAGTCAACATTCTTTTTAACTTGGTTGATAACTAAGAAGGCCAAAAGTAAAAACACATCTTTCAGCTTCTTTTTATGTTGTTCTTCCCTTAACACTCGGTCCTGTTTCCTTGAGGGGTACAGGAAAGGATGGGGGTGTGTGTCCTCTGTCCTCCACGATTTGTCCTCGTCGGCTTTTCCTTTCACGTGGCATTGGTGGGAACCAGTTGGTATTAGCCTGAGAATGGAAGAAGATTTTTATCATTTTGGTGTGGGATGCATTTTGACCTTTAGCCTCGCTAGTAGCCTGCTGATCAAAGGAATTTACTCCTTTAGAAAAGAAAAATTAAAAAGGTATGCTTTAATACCTAAAACAGCGCATAAACCAAAGAGATTGCCTTGGCCGAGCGGCGTGATTTAGCGGAAGTGAACCAAAGCCAAGTGGGCAGATGCAGCCGGGAGGCACCAGCCCCGACACTGTCATCCACCGATGTGGGACCCCACTGCTCTGCTGTCTGTGGACGCAGACTCCACCACCCCCCACGGACGTGGACCTCAGGCCTTGACTTGTGACACTTCTTACGCCCAGTAGCCTGTCGGGTCCTGCGAGCCTTCCCCACGCCCCGGGGAGGCCAGACCAAAGCCAGGAGCCCCGTGAGGGAGAACGCTCGGGAGTGTGGCCCGTCAGCCAGCGCGTGGCCAGCAGATGGAAGGAGTGAGGTCAGGGGTTCTAGGACTTCCCGAGGGCCCCTTGCTGGCATCACTGGCCTGGTCGAGTAACCACGTCTTTACTTCCTTCCAGACGTTTCTTCTCCCGCACCCTGGTTATGAGTACGGTCACTAGGGTGCAGGGCTTTTTATCCATCCTCCGTCTCTGTGAACACATCTCATCTGTGTCCCTCCCCGAGTTCACCTGTCCACTCTGCACGTCGGTGACGCCCACACCCCCTGCATTCAGAGGAGGGCAGCCACCCCTGGTTTTTCAAGGAATACTTTGCTAGTTTGTAAATTAACAGCGCTCCCTGGCTCTGTCATCGCCACTTTGTCACCATTGGAGAGTCATCTCGTGGCGTATAAAGCCACGAGCAAACTTCCAGCTCGAAAAGAGGAGCGTGTCTGTCCCTTAATAGCTGTGATGAAAAGATAGAAAGGTTTAAGGCATTGTTAAATGGGGAAGTTTGGTGATGTTTCTATTTAATCAGTCATGCCTGGTGGCTTTGATAGTCAAGGGATGACTGTTCCCATATTTCTTACAAGGGGCAGCTATGTTTTCCTACAGCATTGAAAAATAAATAAACATTTTTCCCTGTGATGCTGCCTACAGCCCCAGCATCTCCTCCAGCCTGTTCCCTCCTTCCTGCCTCGCTCACACTCAGGGAGCGTCTGGACCCCGTTCTGCGGGACTCTCTGCCTGGACCTGGGGGTTGGCTGCTGCCAACAACTCAGGACCCTGAGCACACAGGCCCACCCCTTGCGTGTTCGGAACTCCCAGGTGTCCTACAGCCCAGGGCTGCTGAGGTGCTCTGGTGTCTCTTCCTGTCGAGGTCCACACACAACAGGACCATACCTTCAAACAACGATGCACACGTCAGCTGCTTCTCAGTTTGTGAGTGAGACTAAAGGGCAGGTGTTTCCTCTGGTGGCCAAACCAAAACCTCCAGCTCCCATCTCCTTCTGTCTCCGCCTCCCTGAATGCTCGACATCCCATGGTAGGTCCCACATTACAATGTACTGAGCACGCCGCTGCACGTTCACCCGTCTTTGATGGAGATGACACTGAGCTTCCTGTAAGATAAGGAATAAAAGCTCTTAGTGCTTAGTTATGGAACTACCTGTCCTCTGTCCCCTCCTCTTTGAGAACATTCTTTCCTCAGGATGTGCAGTCTGGACTGGAATGTATTTTCTCATTCTGCCTGAAATTAAACTGCACTGGTAAAGAGAAGATAGTAGCTATGCATCATTAAGCAGCTAATTTAAATTATGAGATAGACATAAATCATACATATGTTTTTTAGCTAAAGTGTATTAACATTCATCCACAATAATATGCTGAATGTTTACTAATTCCTCTTCTCATTTTGTGGTGTAACAAGCATAAATGTAAGATTTTGATTCATTCATTTCATTTTAGCTGGCAATACATAAAGCAAGTCGTTAAAATGTGCTTTAAAAAGGAGGCTATAATGATATAAACAAATAATTTTTATGAATGAGCTTTAATATATTTCATTTAAATATTGGGCATAATTTTTACCCATTCAGAATATTCATAACAAGACACGTAATGAATCATGCGTAAAAATCATAAAGTTTTTTTTCTTTTAAATTTTTATCCAAGAAAGGAACAAACAGTATTGTGGCCAATATAGTTCTCTGACATTTCTACCAATTTCAGCCAATTACTTTCAGCTGCCCTCAAAAAAAAAAAAAGATTTGCTTCCTGATACTTAGCACTGTCTTCTAACTGGTGGTTCGGGATTCTCCCTCCTGCTCCAGGAGGAGGTTGAGGACGGTGAGCATGACACTGAGAGCTGAGGTCCGGGCCGCACAAGGTCTGAGGAGCAGCCGACTGAGACCTCGGTACCCCTCTCTTTACTGGCTCTCCCTGTTTCCCTTGTTGCTCCTCTTCCGCTCCATGCATTGCCTCTTCCCCTTGTGGGCTGCACACCCGTCCCTGGAACCCAGGGCCCAGGAGGTTGGGTTAGAAGCTGCATTGAGCTTCTTGTCAGATTTCATCCAGTGGGTGGAGGGGGAGGTCATTGCAGGCCCAGATTTGGTGTTTAGAAACCAGCTGGCTGAGGGTCGAGCAGACAGACTGTCCCCATCTTTTCGTTAAGTGGCAGCTCCCTGCATCCCTGGAAGACTCACGTGAAGGCCATGCAGCTTCCGTGTGCAGCCTTGGCACATGAAACTCAGCAGCTGAGCTCTTCTGTCTGTGGTTGTCATACAACTGCGGAAGACTCGGGATTGGTGTTGGTCATGCTGGTAGAAGATGTCAAAACAACAAGAATAAAAATAGTTTGCAGAAAACTTGCTCATGATACCATGTATCTCCAGGGACAGAGAAGAAGATAAGTATATCTTTGTGTGTGTGTGTGTGAGACAGTCTCACTCTGTTGCCTGGGCTAGAGTGCTGTGGCATCAGCCTAGCTCACAGCAACCTCAAACTCCTGGGCTCAAGCCACCCTCCTGCCTCAGCCTCTCAGGTAGCTGGGACTACAGGCACGTGCCACCGTGCCTGGCTAATTTTTTCTATTTTTAGATGTTTGGCTGATTTCTTTCTATTTATAGTAGAGACGGGATCTCACTCTTGCTCAGGCTGGTCTCGAACTTCTGAGCTCAAGCAGTCCTCCCGCCTTGGCCTCCCAGAGTGCTAGGATTTCAGGCGTGAGCCACCGCGCCCAGGTGATAAGTGTATCTTAAAGTCACCTCTCCAGTTTGTAGTTTTCTGACTTTGAAATAGAGTCTCTTGTCTGCAGATTCTAATCACAGTTCAGGTGGAGTACTCCTTAGCTACACAGGATCCAGAGTGAACGATTTATGCACATTCAGATATTTTGACTTTTCTATATTTGTTCACATCTATTTACTGTTTACTTTTATTTTATGGATTCTTTTTACTATTTTAATAGATTTTTAAATACAGATATCTTAACACTCGGACAATTAACAAATATAACCATTCTTCATGTTGGCTTCAGAGCTTTTTGTAATACATGAGAGTGTCCCTGTGTTCTAGCCTGTGCCACAGTGTCCCTCCCGGAGGCGGTCACAAGTGTAGGGTTGTTGTGTCTCCTTCCAGATCGTGTTTTTACGTGCTCACTTCATACATGTAATGCGGAAGTACAGACATCTTTGTGTATCTCAAGAGGGTATTGTCTTACGTGCTTTTTAAATGTAATTCATGAGAGCATCTTTCCTCCTGTTGCTCTTCCTTTTTCCCACTTACCTCATTCGTATCCGTCCACATCCATGAGGGTGAACGATTAGGGTCTTCCCAGTTTGGGGCTCTCATGAGCGGTGGTGTTATAAACATCCTTGTACGTTTCTCTTTGTACACACGTTCACGAGGTTCTCTGAGGTATTACGTTAAAAGTGGCGTTGTGAGGTAGCATGGCGTTTGTGTTTCAGCTTTGTAAGAAACAGCCCGATTCCTTTCCAAAGTAGCTGTGTTAATGTCCACTCCCAACAACAGTGGATGTTTTGTTTCCCTGCTTGTGTATCACCAAGGACTGTCAGACTTTTACCAGGCGGGTCTGAAGTCCTGCCTCTTGCCGTACCGTGCGTCTTCCTGACTCCTGCTCGGTCCCGTGTCCTTGGCTGGAGTGTCCTCTTCAGGGACTCTCAAAGCCAGTCCTGGCCTGTGTTTCTGTCGGGTTCTCTCTCTGTCTTGGATTTGTTGATGTTCTTAATATGGTTTAGGTATTTAATACTTCGTTATGTATCTTGGAAATATTTTCTCACCTTCTGGGAAATATTTCCAACTCTGAAAAAAATTCTAATTTAAAAATACCAACATAACCATTTTAGTTTGAAAAGTAACACATTTTAGGAGTATCGTCTTCATTCCACATACCATTACGTCAGGAATGATAGACCGATGTAAGCTGACCACCTGTATGTCGTGGCCAGGCAGGCTGAGACCTGTAAAGGCGCCTGTGC